AGAAAGAAAGAAAGAAAGAAAGAAAGAAAGAAGAAAGGAAGAGAAAGAAAGAGGGATCTGGGGAATGTTGTAGACCAACTGGAAGTTTGACCTGAATGTGCTCCACTGATTTAATGCAGAGAGAGCTACCTTCCATGGACCGTTCATCACTTTACGCTTTAAAGCCAGCTTCCTGTGATTAAGTTGGCAGCTAGAAACATAGCTGGGGGATTCTTGTCCCTCAGCATGGGAGCTTCAGGGAACAGGTTTGAGGGATGGTCCAGTGGGCTGGAGCTGGAAAAGGAGACTCTATCCTGCTCTAACGCCACTGCTGTGCACCGTAGGAATACTGGAGTAACCTCCCTGAGCCTCAGACACTTCCAGTCAGGTGGGTTAGAAGTCTTGCCTTCCATGCCTCCAAGTGGGAGGGTGGGGTGAAGCAACAGGTGTGGGGAGGTGCTTCACGAGTGGTCTTGAGTTTCAGGGGGCTAGTTCGTACGTTATGCTTTCCTGCTATGCATATCTATGTCACAGCCTGACAGACCAAGATGAAGTTTTAAAAGCAGCTTTACAGTGAGTGATTCTTTCTTAGGGTTTGCCTCATGAAAAGTGCTTGGAAAGAACACCGGCTTTGGAGACTGATGGACTGTGGTTTGAACCCAGCTCCATCACTGGCGGTGTGATCCTGGGCGAGTCACCACCTTTCTGAGCCCCAGCCTTCTCAGTGGTAGCATGGGGTAGAATCAACCTGTCAGTTTGAGTCATGCAGTTTGAGACACCAAGATGGCATTAGATGTGCCAGAGGTCCTTTGAAGAGACCTGTGAAGGGAAAAGGGGAGAGGGAGCAGATGTAAGCAGGGACAGTGTCCAGACCGCAGTGCAGGTCGGACTTAGGGCAGGAAGGCGTGTGAGCAGCAGGAACCTCAGAGCATGTTGCCCAGGTCTGTGGGGAGTCCCAGAGCAAAGACTGCCCATTAGAGGAAGCTGTGTAACAAACAGCCCCACATAACAGTGTCTTGAAAACAAGAGCCATTCTATAGTTCATATTTTTTTGGGTCAGGAATTTCGGCAGGCCTTTGCCGGGTGATTTTTCTGTTCTATGTGCAATTGATTAGGGCCTGTCTTAGTTTGGGGTGCTGTGAAAAGGCACCGTAGACTGGGTGGCTTACACAACAAATGTTTATTCCTCACAGTTCTGGAGGCTGGAAAATCCAAGATCAAGGTGCTCAGAGATGTAGGGTCTGCTGAAGACCCACTTCTGGTTTGTAGGCAGCTGCCTTCTTATTGTGTGCTCACATGACAGAGAGAGAGCATTTTAGCCTCTTTCTCTTTTTGTAAGGACACTAATCCCCATCATGGAGGCTCTGCCCTCATAACCCCATCTAGCCCTAACCACCTCCCAAAGGCTCACCTCATAATAATACCATTCCATTGGGGGTTAGGGGTTCAATATGTGAATTTGGGGGGATACAGCCATGCAGTCCATAACGGGTCACTTAGTGGTATTCAGTAGGCAGCTGGTCTGGCCTACAGGGTCCAAGATGGCTTCATTAATATGCCTGGTGGCTTGGGTGGGGTGGAGGGCTTCTGGAAAGCTGGGCTCCACTGGGCCCTCTCCGTGTAGTCTTGGAGCATCTCCATGTGGTCTCTTCAGCCTGATTTCTTACGTGGCAGCTCAGGACTCAAGAGGGAGTGCTCCTAGAGGCCAGTTTCTTCATTGCTTCCGTTGTGTCCCCTTGGTTGAAATAGTCTCAAACCTGCCCAGGTTCAAGGGAGGAGATATAAACCCATCTTTCAGTGAGAGAGAGGAGCATTAAAGAAGCGTGACCATCTGTAATTCAGCATCTATCTCCTAGGGTTGTGGAATATGACAACGTTTATAAAGCACCTGTCATGGGGACTGGCACAGAGCAGGTGGCCATCAGACTGGAGCTGCCATTCTTAATGGTTTTTTCCCATCGTTATTATTACTGCTGCTACTATCACACCCCCTCCCCATTTCTGCCTGCCGTGCTGATGGTTTTGTGTCTGGAGGGTGCCCGCGTGAGATGGGCTTAAACTGCGAGGCTTTTAGAATGCACCTGCCCCCTTTGTTAGCTTCCTGTGAGGTTGCCATCAAGACCCGTTTCCTCCCCGAGGCTTAGGGCTGCTTGTCCTTCTGCAGGTGTGGTGGACCTCAGCTTCGAGGCTGAGAGTCCTCTGACACCCCCAGCTGAACTCCTGGAGAGGTTGCCCAGCTATGACTGCCTTTTTCAAGGAGGTGGTAAGTCCGTGGGGGTTTTGTATCCTGTGGCCTCTTCTTGGGGCTTCTGCAGCTTGGGGGGGACATCTCTGGAACAGGCCAGTGCCAGGATAGCTCCCCTTTCCTCTGGGGGCCCTGAGAAGACCTTGTCAGCATCGGGAAGGAACGGGAGGACATGGGCATCAGTCCTGTGTCCACAAACATTCCATGACCATATCCATTTAAGACCAGGATGATGCTGGCCTGAGAACCATTATTCTTTTTCTTCACCTGTTCTTTCTCACATTCAGCCAGTCTTTCCTTCTTTCACTCCACAAGTATCTGTTCCCTTGAGCTAGCCTGACTCCTCCCCTCTCTTCTAGGACAGCAGATATTCTTCCCACCTTTGGAGGCCCTGGGGAGACCCCAGGAACCAAGGTGCTGGTCCTCATTCCTGGAACACAGGTGAGCTGCAGGTGTGCTTGGTGATCCTCACAGAGCCATCCCACAAGGTCACCTGTGGTGATCTTCACTGTCACCATTGCCCCCGAGGGCCCTCCTCAGGGGCCACGATCTCAACCCTGACAGCACATTAGGAGCTACTCCCAGGGATAGGGCCTGGGAATCTCTATTTTACACAGCTTTTCAGGCTATGCGGCTCCCAAGCCAGAGCTGCAAACCATCATGGAGACTGCAGGTTGCAAACTTCAGCCCCTGGGCCAAATCCAGCCCCTGCCTGTTTTTGTAGATTGAGTTCTGTGGGAACACAGCCTCTCTCATCTGTTTACTTGCTATCTGTGGCTGCTTTCCCGCTACAACAGCGGAGGCGAGTGGCTGAGACAGAGATGAGATGGTCGGCAAAGCCTGAGCTATTTACTATCTGACCCTTGACACAAAAAGCTCATTTACCCCTGGAAAGGCCCACACCTGCCTTGTTTTGAGAGGACTGGGGCACAGTTCCAGCTTTGCTGCCAGCTTTGTGCAGACAGGAGGGGGAGCCTGGAGCACTCCCCTTCTCCTCCCTGCTGCCCGCCTTCCGTGCCCAGTGCAGGTCTGCTTCCTTCTAGTCCAGCGGTTCTCAACCTTTCACCGGGGTCGCCTAAGACCATTGGAAAACACATATTTTCGATAGTCTTAGGAACCAAGACACCGCTCCTCTATCCGTCTCCAGGCCCACATGCAGATACGCCCACATACGAGTACACGGTGACCCCTGTGAAAGGGTCGTTCGACCCTCAAAGGGGTCGCGACCCACAGGTTGAGAACCGCTGTATCTAGTCCACAAGCTTCCTGCAGGCACACAGGCCCCTTTGGGTGCAGGCTGGGGTGCTGGAGACACGAAATGGGCTATTTGGAGTTGGCTGCAGTGAAGAAATGTAGGAAGATATGATGGGGTTTGAGGGAAGAAGAAGAGGGCTCCTGCTTACTGGAGGTGTAAGCGCAAGGGAAAGTTTCTCGGGACCTGGCAGCTGAGCCTCAGGAAGGAGTTTTCCAGGAGGAGGGCGAGGTAACCAGAGAGAAGGCCGAGGGAGGGGTCGGTTGTTTGTCTTCCTACCCTCTTCTCTCTAATCCAGCAGGCTCACTGTGAGTTGCTGTGGGTGCTGCTGTTGGGTGGTTCTTGGCTGGGGTCTTCCTCTGAAGTTGCTCACAGTTCCTCTGGCTGAGGTCAAATTCCCCAAGGGCAGGAACCTTGTCTAGCCTAAGTCGGCCTCCTTAGCTATGTGACATCTTCTCTGGATCTCAATTTTCCTCAACTGTAAAATGGTATAATTCATCTTTAAGGTTTTTTTCTTTTTTTGAGTTCTAAGGCTCTATCAGCCCTTCTCCCGAGCTCAACAGTCAGCTAAAGTGGTTTTGCTGTCCTTTAGAAAGACCTGCCGCTTTCCCACCCTGGGCATTTGTTCGCACGGTCCTGGTTTCCCTTTGCCAGGATGCCCTCCCTATTTGGACTGCGAGCGCTCTCCCACTACTGTAGATCAGTTTCCATCGGCACAGTGAGGGGCAGTCTGGCCTGGATGAGCCTGCAAGGCTCTCCTCAGACCCCCTGCCTCTCTGCTCCGTCCCTAGCAGAGTCCCCGTGGTGACGGAGCAGGTGGCACGTGAAGCCCTCCTCAGCTTCGTGAACTCCAAATGCTGCTATGGCAGCTCAGCTGCAGGCGACCTCATCATCCAGGAGCTGAAGCAGCAGACCTTGTGCAGGGTAAGGGAGCTGGGCCTGGTGGAGACCATGATGTGGATTGTAGAAAGGCGTCCGGGGAGGGGGCAGTGTGTGTGAATGGCGGCGACTGAAGTCCCTTCTGTGACTTCTCAGGTCTGAAATCTGAGTAATAATACAAGGAGTAATTATTATCAACCATCACTGAAAAGTTCAAATGTGCCAGGCATCAGGTAAATCATGCGAGATGTGTCATATCACATCCTTACAGCTACCTACATGGTAGGTGTTATTGTCATCAGTTTATAGAGGAGGAATTGGATGTTTAGAGAGGTGAAAGTGCTTGCCCCAAACACACAGCTAGATACACACTCAGGTTTGCTGGCACCAAAGCTCGTGACCTCAGACACAAGGCTGACCCGCTTCTAGAAGGGGTGGGCTGGGAGAGAGAGGTCCATCGACTCCCCTGCACCCCAGCTTCCTCTACCCCCGCCCCCCAAGTTACATCTATGCCAAGGAATCATTTATTCATCACTGGGGCCTGATGCTCCAGGAAAACCCTACACCGAGACCACAGCCGGGACCACAACAGGCACCTGTGTCACCTTCGGCATTGGCAGGACAGCTCCTCAGTTCCCATTGTCTAGTGTCACTGGCACAGCCATCCTCTGGTGAGCACACAGTCACACAGAAATCAGACGAGCCTTGCCGGGACTGGTGAGAGCAGGGCTCTCGGGGAAGAGGCCCCTGTGTAGTTGTGTGGCTTTGGGCAAGTCAGCTGACCTCTCTGAGCCTCCATTTCTTCACATGAAAAAGGAGCCAGGTGATTTCCAAGATCCCTTCCCATTTCGTGATTCTGTGGATCAGGATCAAGAAGGATCTTGACATCAGGCAGATAAATTCCTCCTGAGGGGAGTGGATCCCACAGCCTCCATCGTCAGAGGACAATCGCTGCTCCCAAACTTGCCTCTTAGAATGCTTCTATGTATAAAAAATGGGGAACGGAAATCGCCCCAGTTGTGAGCCTGTCAGGGAGATTTCCTGGGACCCACTGACCTCTCCGCAGAGACATCTGGAACAGAAATCACTATGCCAGCCTGTTCTAAGCAGCTCCAGGTGCCATGAATGGGGCGTCTGGTTTCCCCACTGAGAACCCCCTGGGGTTGGGGGTGAGGGTGAAGGTGGGGAAGGGGGACTTCTTCTGTTTGCAAAATGCTCTGTCTTTCAAAAGGGCACGCGTGTGAACATGCTGTCTTTTTCTCTACAGTATCGACTAGAGACTTTCAGCGAATCCAGGATAAGTGAGTGGACATTTCAACCCTTCACTAGTAAGTGAATTGTCTGAGATCAGTTTAGTTGGGAGCAACTATGGCAGGGACTAGTCCTGGCCACTAACCTTGCATGAGATGCTCTTCTGCTCAGAACCTCAGTTTTCCCCATCCCCTGTAACATGAGAGGATGGGTTTTCGTGTCAGAGGCTTTCTAGGGCTGATCTTAGCAAATGCTTCCCGTCCAGGAAAAGGTTTGTAGAGGGTTCTGAGAAAGTCTAGCATCTGCCTTTGGCCACAGGCTAGTGCTGCCACGTGGGGCTATATTGGAAAGGCAGCATGTGTGCGTGAGCATCTCCCTGCCTCCCAGGCCACCCCAGCACCTCCCAAAGTCTCTAGATCCCTGGGCCCCCCTTCACTGTACCACACCACCTCCTACTGAAACCCACTAGAGGCTTCAGGGTCTCTGTCTAGGAGGCCCTTTGTCTGCTGACCACTTCGGCTCATCCTTCAAGTTTCAGCTCACAAGCCACCTCTTTTATGAAGCCCTTCAGGATTTCTTCCTCTGCCACTTCTCTCCCCAGCAGAATGAGTCAGTCTTCTGGGTTTTCAGAGCCCTTTATGAAACTCTTGTCCAAAGCACTTACCATCATGGTTGTAGCTGTGTCTGTCTCCTTGATTGGAGGAAGAGAAAGAGAAAGAAGATGGTAGGGATGGAGATGATAGTGACAATAGTGCTGGTTTATGGAGGCTTCACCATGTGCCAGCCCTGTGCTAAGCATTCATATGCCTTCTTCTATATAATTTTTACTCCCATCCTAAATGGTAGGTGCCACCATTATCCCCATTTTAGATGAGAGAATTGAAGGCCAGAGAGGTGAACACATTTGTCTGGAGTTACACAGCTAGGAAGTAGAAGAACCAGGCGTCAAACCCGAGTCTCTTCAACCCCAGAGCTTGGGTGCTTAATCACTGACGGCAAGGAGACCCTTATCTACCTGTCCCTCTAGACGTGTCTAGCCTCATGCCTGGCACCAAGTGAAGCCTCTGAAGTACTTGGTAGATAAGTAAAAGGTTGTCCTGGCAGCCTTGCTGTGCTTACAGTGATCCCTGTCTGTGTCAGAACGCTCTGTGGATGGGCCACAAAGAGGGACCTCCCCCAGGCTTTGGGACATCAAGGTCCAGGTTCCTCCGATGTTTCAGGAAGACACCAGGAAGTTCCAAGTCCCTCACTCATCACTGGTCAAGGTAACGTGATTATTGGAATCTTTGCCCTTCTCTCTGAGCTGGTGTTCCAGGCACAATAAGTTTCTTCAAACTTCATCCTTTTAAAAAGGGAAACCCCAAATCCAGGCTGTTGGTTTCTTTCTTGGCTTTTTATTCACGTAGCAAAAGGATGATCCCATTTACAAAATTGCCATCAGATTTAAATAGCACTCACATTCCTAGACCATCTGAATGATTTTTATCCCCGCCCGCCCCCTTCTTTTTTTGCCTGATAGTAAGCAGCTGAAGTGCTGAATAAAACGGATATAAAATAAAGTTAAAACATTGTTGGAATTTTTCATGGAAATCAGTAGGGGAACAGAATTTAACTTCTATCCTGTTTTATAGAATTATCACAACATGAAATGAGGGTAACCTAATGTATTACAAAAACACAGCTGAGCTATTTTATATTATGTTCTTGTCTAATTACCTGCCTTGTTTTTATTTTAGAACTTGATTCAAGCATGTAATTTAACCCCCTGTATTTTCATAGCATTATAAGATGGAGGGGATTTTGAGAGGTTAAGCAAGTGTTTCACTTTTTTCTCAAGAGTGGAAATGCTATTTTGATTCAGTGATTAAATTCCACTAGCTAGCTCATTGCCTCTCACAAGAGTGTGTCCATTTTTTATGACTTCTATTTCCAAAGACCACCTTAGCTCCTTAATGGGCGAAGGGCACTGGTCTTTGGGGTTTAGCCTGGGAATGAGAGTCAGGACATGGGATGGGAGAGCAAGTGTCCTCTTAGTATCCAGGACAGACTGAGCTGGGGCTCTGAGGAAATGGTAACACATTCTCCTGGGCTTGGCATTCAAGGCCCTTTTCATCACAGTCAAGTGGGAATGGCTGTCTTCCCACCCTGCCTCTGAAGGGCTGCACCTCTGTTTGGGATGGTGACATCATGGGGGCAAGGGTTGGGGTGGTGAAACCAGGAGCTGCTGGGAAACTAGATTCAAGAAAAATTTCACCTTCAGGAATGCCACAAATGCCATGGGCGTGGGCGCTACAAGTGCAGCGGCTGCCATGGAGCTGGCATGGTGAGTCACGTGTGGCTGTTGGTGAGTGAGTGTTGGGGGAGGGGGCGCATAGAGACAGAGGGTTGGGCTGGGGTCCTGGAGCACCCCACACTAACAGTGTGACCTTAGGCAAGTCGTCCTCCATTTTCCCACCTCTAAAATGGAAAAGTTGGATTGGGTCATCTCTACTGGTGTTTTTCACTTTGATGGTTTATGACTGTAATTCTTCTCTCATTTTCTCATCCATCTACAAGCATTCATTGAGTGCCTGCTTGGCACTAGGCCCTACAAGAGGACTAAAACCTGGGGTCCTTCCAACCAGGGACCCCCTGTCTGTGGGGGAGACTGACGGAGACCAGCACTTGTAGTACAGGATGGCGAGTGCTGAGCAGCTGAAGTTCAGAGGGCTTCTAGAGACAAGATAGACCGGCCCTTGTATCGGCTTCCGTGAGCCACCTTAATGAAGTCCCACAAACTGAGCGGCTTAAAACCATAGAAAATGTATTCTATTACAGTTCTGGTGGCTGGAAGTCCAAAATCAAGGCGTCGGCAGGGTTGTTTCCTTCTGGAGGCCCTGAAGGAGAAGCCATCTTCCAAGCTTCTGGGAGCTCTGGCAGCTCTGGCAGCTTCTGGCAATCCTCGGTATTCTCTGGCTAGAAGCTGCATCACTTGAGCCCCGGCCTCCATCTTCACATGGCCTTGTCTATGTGTGTGTTTCTTGTGTCTCCTCATGGCCTTCTTATAAGGACACCAGTCATTGAATTTAGGGCCTACCCTAGTCCAGTATGATCTCGTCTTAACAATTACATCTGCAAAGACTATTTCCAAATGAGGCCGCATTCTGAGGTTCTGTTGGATGTACATTTTGGTGAGGGGGCAAAGGGAGGACACTATTCAGCCCAGTACAGGCTCCTGAGCACACAGTCATGCTCTCGTGGCCTCAGCCTTCTTTTCAGAAATCTTCAGGGCTCTTAACCATCCTAGGAGTAGTACCAAGCTCCTCGCGTGTTCTTAGCTCTCCCCATTTGCACCTGATCCTTTGGACTTCCTCCATCCTTCCACCTGCTGGCCTTCTGTCTATCCCTTCCACCCTGGTGGTGCCCTCCTTCTGCCTGCTGTGTGCTCACCCCTCTATCCGCTCACGTCCTCTTCTGTGGCGCCAGCTGTGTTGAGTACCCGGTGTCTCTCTCCTGTGCGTTCAGTCCTACCATTCTCCTCGTGGCTTTCCTGAGCCGCCCGCCCCCCCCCCCCACCCTGTGGTCTTTTCTGTTTCCTCCTCCACCCCTTTTCCTCTCCTTCCTCTCCCTCTTCCCTCAGGCTTTTCCTGGAATGTCTCCAGAGCCAACTGTCAGCCAACTGGGGGAGCACTGCCTGGGTCACTTCTGGGCCCCTTTCCAAGATGGAGACCCTCATCTCCAATGGCAGCTCCCTCAGCCAGGCCGTCCCGCTTCCTACACCCTCTGGCCGGGGCTGTTTGGTTAGGGGACAGTCCCAGCATTTGTGGGGATCAGAGAGGAGCAGGAGAGGCTGATGTCCCAGAAGAAACAGGGATGTTAGGATGTAGATTCTTTGAAAGGTACAACAGAAGGGGTCCAAAGATTCACTATGTCCGACCCTCCCATTTTATAGACGAAGGGGCACAGGCCCCGGGAGAGGTTGCTTAAGGTCACCAGGATGGGATTCAAACCAGGTCTCAGGGTGCTCTTTGCCCCACTTCCCTGGGAGGCCAGTGGAGGCTGAGGCCATGGTGTGTCTGTAGGTGAGGTGCCCTTCCTGCCGTGGAGCCAAGCGCAGAACCAAGCAGCCCAGGAGGTGTCAGATGTGCTCGGGGTCTGGCAGGCACAGGTATGAGTGGGTCTCCCTGACTGTCTTGCTTTTCATTGTCTGCCTTTCTGGGAAGCAAGCAGGCACCCTGTCTGTCTTGTCACCCCCGTGTCCCTAGAGTTCTGTGCATAATAGTTGCTTGATAAATATTTGTGGAGTGGGTGGGCTTTTCTCAAGGCCTGATATTTCTGGAAAAGACTGGAACTTATCAAGCAATCTGTGTCAGGTGTAAGGATCATGGCATTGCAGGAAGGCAAGGGGGCAGTTTAAGAAAAGGAGACCTCTTCCTGCCTCACGTGGTGGGGAAGTGAATATAGAAAACCATCCAAAGATGAGATTCTTAATTCTCTGAGACTCGGGGCCTGGGAAAACCCTCATTTATAACTCATTGCAGGGCGTGAATGGAGGATAGAAAAGTCAAGGAAGGTTGGTTGATTGTCTAAACAACCAACAAAGTTCCATCTCTGCTCATAAGGCTTTGCAAACAGTGGGGCATTGCATTTTGTAAATAATTGTCCTTTAATGTATTTATAAGTCTTTAAAGGGAAGCAGGAAATCATGAGGAGTGAAACTATTCAAAGTTGTGTGGGTTAATGATACTTTTGGCTCACTGAGGCCCAAGCCATCCTTCTAAGAAGCCAGATGGTAAAGTTTTGGCATACCTGCCACCTGTGGTTGATAAAAAAGGTCTTTGATTTGGAAAGAAACTCAGGTTTCTTTCACTTACAAGTGAAAGAAATCCAATTCAAACCGGTGTTAGCAAAAAAGTAAACGTATAGTCCCATGTAATGGAAAAGTTCAGGAGTATATTTCTGGCTTCAGGTACAGCTGGATCCAAGTGCTTAAACACGGCCATCAGTAACCTGTCTCCATTTCTCACCCTGCTTTCCTTGGTGTTGGCTTTATTCTCAGGGAAGCTGTCTCTTATGGTGACAGAGGGGACCACCCGCATCTCCAAGCTTAGTTAGTAATCTCAGTAGAAAAGGATGTCCCTTTCCTGAATGTTCCAACAAAAGTTATGGGGCACGTCTCACTGCACTCACTTGGGTCATGTGCCATCTTTGTATCGGCCACTGTGGCCGGGGAGATGGAATAAGCTGACGGACTAGGCTGAGGTCTCCAACTGGTCATAGAAGGGGTGGGGGCGAGCCCATGAACTATGGGGACTGGGTGGGAGAAGGGTGGTCCCCAAAGGGAAATTAGGGCACTGCCACCAGTAAGAGGAGGCCTTAGATGGTGGGCAGGTGGAAGCAATCTATGCCCACCACAGTCCACACCTACGAGGAAGGATTTGGGGGTGGGGGCCTCTGGAAGCCACCAGGACCCCATGACTATCTGAGTGGTGCTGATGGTGTGTCCCTCTCAGGTGCAGCACGTGCTCAGGGAGGGGGACCAAGACTTGTGCCACCTGCAAGGGGGAGAAGAAACTACTGCACTTCATTCAGCTGGTCATCATGTGGTACGTGGCAGTGTCTCAGAGCTGTGGCCCAGCGGGGGTAGCCGGGGAACATGGGCTGGGCTGGTTTCTGCAGAGAAACTCCACTGGCTTGGGGCTTTCACAGCTGCCGGGAGAAAAAGGCTTAAAGAGACTTGGGAAGGGGCGAGATCCCTGGGAAGAGGCAGTGTGGGATGGTGGGGCGCTGCATGGCGTTAACGCAGACCTGAGTTCAAATTCAAACATCACCACTATTCTAGTGCAACAGCCACTCATCACGTGGGCAACCCCATCTGGGCAGTGAGTCCCTAGGTCCTAAATTCCCATGTCGGGGAAGACTCCCAGGCATTAAGTGTTTCTCCCATCAGACACCATGTTAAGCACGTCACAGGTAAGGGTGAAATGAGGTAATAAGATGGAGCTGTCAGTACTTGACTAGCTTCCTAGTTTACAGCTGAAGATACCAAGGCCCAGAGAGGCTAAAGAAGTCTCGCAAGGTCCCTCCAGTAGGAGCGCAAGCCTTCCAGCCCAGGTCTGCCTGATTCCAAGCCCATGTTAAACCGTCTCTCATCCTCTTCACCTCCAGGAAGAACAGCCTGTTTGAGTTTGTGTCTGAGCACCAGCTGAACTGCCCCGGGGAGCTCCTAGCTAAAGCCAAAGGAGAAAACCTCTTTAAGGATGAAAATACAACGGTAAGGAGGGCTTTGCAGACCTCCACGCGAAAGCTAGGCTCCCCTTACGGCTCCTCTGGCTTTCTGTGGGGCCGCATTCGTTTGTCAAGACAGGCTGGGTGGACACAGCTGCCTAGACAGCACAGAGGCTGCTGCGACCCCATGGGGCCAGTTCTCCCATGAATTTCACACACTTAACCCTTCCTTCCTCTCTTCTTCCTCCTTCTCCCTCCCTCCTCCCAATCTCCCTTTCACAAACCCGGAGACACTTCTCCTATCCTAGGAACCGTTCTGGGCTTGGGGATACCGTCCAACAAAATCCTTGTCCTTGTAGATCTCACAGTCTGGTGAGGGAGAAGATAATAACATATAACCACAATGTCAGATGATGGAGAGAAATATGCAAGCAGCAGGGTGAGGAGACATAAAGGGTTGGGGGTAGTGTTTCAGCTGGGAGGCAGGGAAGTGACACTGGGCAAAGACCTGAAGCAATAATGCACAGGGGAAGTGGGCCGTGTGGCCATCAGAGTGAGGGTGTGCAGTGGAGGGAACAGCATGACAGAGGCCTTAAAGTGAGCCGGGCAGAGCAAGGAGCTAAGACACGAGAGGTGCCAGCAGCCAGACCAGGGAGGGTCCTGTAGGCCAGGGATCAGCAAACACCGGCCCTCAGCCTGCTTCTATAAATAAAGTTTTATTGACACACAGCCATGCTTGTTTGTTTACAGATTGTCTGTGGCTGCTTTTGTGCTACAAGGGCAGAGTCAAGTAGTTGAGACAGAGGCCCTATGGCTCACAAAGCCTAACGTATTTACTACCTGACCTTTTACAGAAAAGAGGTGCTGACCCTGGGGTAGGCCTTGGCAGGAATTTGGCCTTTATGGGATAGCTGAGCAGGGTCCCTATGCCATTTTCTCTGAGGGGGCCAGGTACCCAGCTTTCTCTCTCCCCCTCTCGCCCTCCTTTTTTCCTCCTTTCCTTCCTTCCGCCTTTTCAAATTGGCTTCTTTCACTTAGTAACATGCATTTTTTTACAGTTGAGATGTAGTTGACATATATCATTATATTAGTTTCAGGTATACAATATAATGATTTAAGATTTGTATATATTGTGACATGATCACCACGATAAGTCTAGTTAACATTACCACACAGTTACAATTTTTTTCTTGTGATGAGAACTTTTAAGATCTACTCTCTTAGCAACTTTCAAACATCCTATATAGTATTATTAACTCTCATCGCCATACTGTACATTACATCCCCAGGACTTACTTATCTTATAACTGGAAGTTTGTACCTTTTGACCCCTTCACTCATTTCATCCAACCCCCTCCCTGTCCCACCCCCTCTGGCAACCATGGATCTGTTTTCTGTATCTATGAGTTTCGTTGTTTTTTAGATTCCATATATAAGTGAGATCATACCATATGTATCTTTCTCTGTCTGACTTATTTCACTAAGTATAGTAATACACTCAAGGTCCATCTATGTTGTTGAAACGTCAGGACTTCCTTCTATTCTATGGCTGAATAATATTCCTCAGCCTCCTTTCTTTGATCCAGTCACTCTGGCTTCCTGAATGCTCACGGCAGGCATCACCCCTATAGGAAGGCCTGCACCCCACCCAAGTCAGGCAGCCTCGAAGGTTTTCTGGGTGACTGAGTGGGCTGCAGGTGGAGGAGTAAGTACTCTGTTCACAGCCCCCTTCTTTTGTTGGACTTCCCGAGGTTTTAATGTGGATAATTGAGAGTCTGTGGAGGCTAAGCAGTCCCCACCCATTCGCAGCACAGCGGCGGACCCTTCCTCTCTGGGCCCTTTCTCCCATCTGCCTGAATCAGATCGCCAAGGCTCCAAGTGCTGACACCTGTTCAGTGCAGCGAGGTGGGCGTGTCTCTCTCCCCAGGTGTACCCACTTATCGACTTCCCCCTGAGGGAGATCTCGCTGGCCTCCCAGAGGGGCATCGCCCAGCACAGCGCCACCTTGGCCTCCAGAGCCCGAGTCCTTCAGCAGGTGAGCTGGGCAGGGGCCTGGGGCTTTGGGGAGGCAAGGCTTCCAGGGCCAGCCTGGGGCTCTGGGGGCACTGTCCCTCTGGTCACATGGAGGAGAAAACGAGATGTTTCTTCTGAGAATGGGAGGGAGGAAGGGATGAGGAAGCGTCAACCAGAGGGAGGGTGAGGGGGAGGAGCCCCAGCCTGAGGGGCACAGGGAGCGCTGGGGACTGACCTGAGGTCAGTGTGGCTGGAGGCAGAGAGCAGGGCAGACCGCACAGTCCATGGTGAGAAGTTTGGACTTTTATTCTCAGAGCAACAGGAAGCTATTGCTGGGTTTTAAGCAGGAACGTGGCTCAGTGTGATTTTGATTTGAACCTCCTGGGATTCAGAGAGGGGAAGGGAAAGTGGTGGGAACCCAGCGTTCTGCCCTTCAGGGCACTTTCCAAATCCCAGGCCTGGCTTCCACCAGCCTCCTGTCTGCAGGGGTGGTGGCCAGGGCCAGGGTTGTTTGGTGCTGTATCCTGGTGGCCACTAGGTGGTAGTGTTGCCCGTTGCATCCCTCAGCTCCCTGGCTGGAAGCTGCCGGAAGGTGGAGGTTTGGCTAGGGAATGCCCAGCGCCAGAGCTCTGTGAGGGGTTCTGTCAGCAGGTGCCTGAGTCTTGCAGACACGGCTCAGATCCTGGTTCTCCCACATCCTAATCTTCTTCCTCTTCCTTGAAGTCCAGTTTCTCATTTGCGGAAAAAGAGATGCTAAAACGGCCTCAGGGGGCATTGTAAGGATAAGACAATTTGCTTTAAGTGCTTGGAAACTGATGATCAAAATGATCAAAATGTTCTTGTTCCTTCTGTCCCCTTTGCAGTGAGTATTTCCCACTCTTTCTCTGCACATCTCCCTTATTTGCAGGAGAGAGAAGTATGCATTTAATTTAAAATTAATAAATGACCATCTTGGAGCTGGAATGAAACTCAGAAATCATGGAATTAGGGCACTACAAACTCAAAGGCCTACCAGGGCCAGGTGGTAACATGGGTGGGAGAGCCCTTTATCCGAAGGAGCCAGCCACCACTCAGCTTCACGTAGGCACCGAGGCGGAGATTTCAAATCTTTTAAAGTCCAGATTTTTATATGAAACCTTCTGACTTTCAATATTGACAACAAAATTTTTTAAATGCTAAGTGAGCACTGTATAGGCCGATGGGCCTACTTTGGCCTGTGGGCCATCATCGGCTAACCCTGGTCTAGTCCAAACTTAGGGCTTTTCCGATAAATCGGAGGCCCAGGGATTGGAAATAATTTGTCAAGGTCACACAGCTTCTTAGTGGAAGAGCCCAGGAGTAGAACCCAACTTTCCCGACTCCAAGCCAAATGTTTTATTCACCACAATGAAGAGATACAAGCAGCTCTTTGGGAGGCAGTGTAGGCTTGCCAGGGATGTCAGCCAGCTGGGAGATTCAGGACCCTTTTCACTGGGCCAGACGCTGCAGGGACCATTTGATTACCAGGCCAGGACCTGCTTTCCAGTTCGGGCATGCCCTCGCGGCTTCCAGCTCCTTCCCTTCCACGGACCTCAGTGTCCTCGTGTAGGAAATGAGTGGGCTTGGACCCTGCCTTAGGTGGGGCTTTGCAGAAGCGGATCCGAGGCAAGGATATTTTAAGGAAAGGCTCCCAGGACAACCCGGTAAAGTGGAGGAGATGGAGAGGGAGGTGGGAGAGATCACACAAGGGTGCAGTGTCGGTGATGGCCCAAGCCCAGGGGAGCCCTGAGTGTCAACCACACCCCAGGCTGTCCTCCCGGAGGTGAGCGAGCTGGACTTCTGTTCTTTCGCACCATGCCATCACTGGCACAACCTTCCCAGGCTCTTTCTGCTCCTGGGTGGGAGGTGGGTTCTGTATCTCAAGGATGGGACTCTGAAGAGGAAGGTTGAGCTGTGAGCAAGTGTGTGTGCAGCAGCGGGGTTGGGGGTGGGTGTGCAGCAGATGCCAGGGGGCCCAGTGGGATGAGAACAGTATCCACGAGAGATCCCAGAACGGTCTCGCAGGAAGCTCGCTCTTGCGGCACTAGTATTCTACGGTGTGGGTCACAGTGAAGAGCCCCAAATATTGAGGTAACTGCATGGGAACTGGGAAGAAGGCGAGGACATGATTCAGCAGTATGTGGACACTCCTGGAACTCTTTTGCTTCTGAGACTGAGGATTTGAGTCTTTTTTTGACCCCTCATTTGGCATCTGGGGAAACCGAGGCCCGAAGAGGCGAAGTGACCGCCGAGCTCTAGGCCTAGGTGGCCGGTCTCGGTTTGGAACCTGGTTTTCCTGTCTCGGGCAGCACAAGCCATTTGCGAACCAGGCCTGGAGCATGGAAGGGTAAACCGGGGCAGGTGCACATTGCTCTTTAAAGGGGGATGTAATGGGAGAAGAAGCCACATCTGTGAGTCTTTCCCCTACATCGTTCCTTGGTCCTGGACTGTAGATAAAGATTCATGCTGGTATTTTGTTGGGAATTAAGACGTTAGCAAGTGGAATCCAGTGTGGAGACAGCCATCATGGCACCGGCCCAGGCCATGATGCTCAGACCTGGGATCTTTTCATCCCAGGGGCATGACCGAGGTATACAAACAGATAAATGGCTGGTTACAAGATAACCACTTGATGGCAACTGATGTCCTGACCAACCTGTGGCCTCAGACTCAGAGACCATTCAGGTGGGGGCAGGTGGGGGTGGGGACGGGGTGGTATTGCTGTGTTCTCTGTTTGACCTTAGTAGAAAAGCCCAGAAATGAGTGGTGCTGCTGACACCACTGTCCAGGCCTTCTCAGCAGTGATGTTGACTGGCCCTCTCCTTCTCTCCTCGTGATTCCCATTTTGGGTCCCCCATACCAAAATGTCAGGAGGGGTTTTCTACCTTATATTTCCCAAATTAACACTTGGAGACCAGTTTCTGGCATACAAAGAAAACTCAGTCTCACAATCTCATTTGATTGTTGCAGCAACTCTGTGACATAGAAATCTTATCCCCATTTGACAGATGAGTTCACTGAGGCTCAGAGAAAGGAAGTACGAGATCACACAGAAAGCTTCATGGAAAACATATGCCCTGGTCTGGCTCCCCGTCCTGCCACAATGTCATGCTGTCCCTTGGCTTCCCTTCCAGTACAGTAGGGAGCTGCTTCTCAAAATCCCCCTCCCTTTGCCCCCCCCCACCTGTTTCACCTTTTTCCTGGGGCCTCAGACCATCACACACATACACTGAGAGGACTTGGACTCTTTTCCTAGGCAGGAGAAATTCCTGCACGTTAAGAGTCTGACCCTGGGCCAGCCACGCCACCTCCCTCTGGGTTTGTGATCCCCACACCTGAGCCTGGGACAGGGGAGCAGATAGTGCAGAAGCACTTAGGGTTTCTGACACAGAGCCTGGCCCACAGGATGTCCCCAAGGACGCTTCACTTCAATGATTAGGGGTAACTTTCCTATGTCAACTCCATCTGTAGTTGTCGATGACAAAACAGCATGGAAAGCTAATGAGGATGGGTGCCTCCATGGGAGCCAGTGTTCTCTCCCAGGTGGGGCTGCCAGTTCTGTTCTGGGCCCCTCGATGTCGGAAGGTTGTTGAGTCAGTACTCAGAGAAGAGGCCAGAGAACGAGGGACTTGAGGACTGTTCTCTGGGGGGAGGGAGAGGCCACATACAGGTAGGTGCTGGAGAGGAGATCTGAGCACTAAACAGGCCCAGCTATGACGAGGAGATGGAGCTTGACCTAGATGATCTTCCAAACTGGAAATTCCATGAGGCCATGGACCTCGATTTCCCCATTTGGTGGGGGGCAGGCAGGCTCGGAGAAAATCGCCTGAAGCAGCCCACCAAACTTTGGAATTCCTTTGGTGTCAATGTTCTATCTTAAAATTTAATTCAAATTGCATAAGCCACTCTCTAATATGTCCATGGTGGCTTTAATATAAAAATATTTAAAATGACTTTATCATCTACCTTTGTCTACTCACCATTTAAAAATGAATGTTTCTGGGAGCTGTCCTGTTTGGCTGGTGGCTTTTCATACATCCAGAGACTCCTCTGGGGATATGTGTGCCCCCAATTCATGAAACCTAGCATCAGGTGGTGGCTAAAGGTGAGAGGTTGGCTTGAGTCAGAGCGTAGGGTGTATGGAGGAGTGCAGGTGGATCTACATCTAGAGAGCCAGGTGGGAGCCAAAACGCCAACTCCACAGCATGAACTTCATCCCACAGGTAGTAGGGAGCTACTGAAGGTTCTTGAGCAGAAGAGTGACTTGATCAGAACACTGAAGTTTTTCTTGGCCAATTATTTTCTCAGCGCCAGACCATTGAGCTGATCCCCCTCACAGAAGTTCATTACTGGTACCAAGGAAAGACTAATGTCTACTACATCTACGGCACCGACCACAGGGTGTATGTGGTGGACTACCCTGAGCAGTACTGCTGCGGCTGCACCATCATCTGACAGGGCACCGCTATCCCCATGGCCCGCCGGGGAAGACAACCGAGATCTCTGAGTTCTGTCATCGTTGGCTGCATGGGACCACACACAAACCCAGGGTGTCTGTCCTTCAAGAGAATTCAGCTCATCGTCTGTCAAGCCACAAGTCTTTCTGGAACACCTTTGGTAGAATCTATCACATGTTTAACCTGCAAGAACTCAACTTCATGTATTTCTTTAGAACAGATCATTTAACGGCGGGGGCTTTGCCCCTGGCCTCCAGGCTAATTAATGCTCTGACTGAGCGCGTGCCTTTGATGTCGCTGTTTCCTGGGTCAGTCTCAGCTCCGGTGTGCCTCTTCTAGTGTGAGCCATTTGCCACGCTGAGTGTTATTGAAATGTTTAAAGATACACACACACTGGCTGCCCCTGAATGCACACCAAATAGTGAACTAAGGCATAAAGTACCTTTATGTACTAAACTTTGGCTCCCCGTTCTGTGGGTCAGGAATTCAGACACAGCCAAGATGGGGATGGTTTATCTCTGCTCCGTGGCGTCTGGGGCTTCACCTGGAAGATTTCCAGGCTGGGGTGGTTCAAGGGCAGGGGGCTGAAATCACCTGAAGGCTGGTTCACCCAGAGACCTGGTGGTTGATGATGGCCATTGGCTGGGACCTCCACGAGGGCTGTCAGCTGGAGCACCTACTGGTGGCCTCTCCACGCAGCCTGGGCTTCCTCAAGGCATGGCGGCTGTGAGGGTAAGCACCCCTCATGCTCACCCGACTGAGGAAACAGAGATCTCTCCCCAAAGTGGGGAGCAAGCCCTCTGTGTGGGATGGACTCAGGGCCTACTTGCTGGTCTCTAATGTGGTGCCCACGCAAGGGGAAATTTGGGAGAGTGATTTTGGATACATGCAGGTTCTCACATCACAGGTTTGGACCTCAGAACCTGTCCATTGAGTAGCATATAAACTGGAGGGCCTCTGTACCCAGTCAGGTGTGGTAGCTCCCACCTGGTGCAGCCAGGCTGGTGGGTGGAGGGGATGCCCTACAGACTGAATGCCCAGTTAGCTTTGAAGGGGTGGTTGTGGGGCCCAGGTAGGCCATGGTGCACCTGGATGTGGGTAACCAGGGGCCCCTGTCATTTTACTATGCCTGCTCCACACCCAGAAGGGGATTGCCATACCCCAAGACGGCCAGTCTGTACCCTCGCTTGATTCGGGAGCTCCTGCCTGCCTGCAGCCTTTGTCTCCCATGGGGTGGGAGGATGTGGACACAACAGGCCTGGCTGGGGCAGGCTGGGGGAGTCTGAGGCCATTCTGAGGGCATCTTTGACAAATGATATGCAGATGAGCGCTTGCCACTCCCCCAGCCCCGGGTTCCCTGCCTTCTGTTTCAGTATTGCTGTTTCCTGCACACTGGGGGTGGGGGTGGCTAGCAGGGCTCAGAGCGGTGACCAGCTTCCCTGGGGCTGTAGGAAACAAGGGAAATTTGACTGAGAAGCAAACGGGTGGGATTCTGGAGGCTCTGAGAGTCCTGAGCCCCGCAAACCTTCTAGGCTCAGATGCTGCCCCCCAGCCAATGCCACAGGCTCTGCATGTGTCAAGGCCAAGGGCAGAAGAAGGTGCACACTTGGGTCGGGGTGCACTCTGGTGCCTGGGGACAGAGCCTGGTGGTGGCAGGGGAACCAGGGAAGGTTCCCCAAGGCTTCCCACTTCTTCTTCCTCCTGCAACTGCATGCATTCCAGTCTGGGAGGTTCTGGTTAACAAGGAGGGTCAACCCCCCCTCCCCTCCCCCCGCCCCTGGTGTCCCCAAGGCCTACCTCTGTGGTCCTCAAAGGGGATGTTTTTGCCCCTAGGGGGACTTGTACAAATGGAGGGGACAGTTTTGGTTGTTGCAATGATTGGAAGCGACAGTATTGGTGGCATCTGGTGGATGGAGTCCAGGAAAGCTGTTGTCCAGCAGTGTCTGGGGACATCCCGACAATGAAGGGCCGTCCCACACCTCACACGACTTGCAGATCCACCACTGACATTTATGTCGAACTCACTCAGTTACACAAAATATCATCAATTATTGCTTAACACATTGCTGATTTTCATTTAGTGTTCCCCTCTGTTCTCTGATTTTCCTATATGTCTTGTTTGAAATGGCTTCCGGTCCTCTCACTACTCTTAAGTCCAAACCTGTGTTGAGGTTCCTTGTGCCACTGGGCCTGAGCATTCACAAATTGAAATACATATATTAAAAAAAATTACTTCTTATTTCCCCTTTATGTTTCACTTTGAGCATTAAATTGCTGTTTTAAAAAATGCACTGTAAGTGGGCTATAGGTGAATGTCATTTTAGGATAAAAAGGGAGTGTGTTAAGGTTGAGGCCCAGTGGGCCATACACATGGTTGGTGCATGAACCCAGTGAGAAAAATCCAGCAGGAATAAAGTGGGCCCAAAGGGACACTGTTCCAATTGAGCCCCCGTGAGCCATTAGCCACAGGCTCCTTAGTTCCCATGGTTTCGGCAAAATTCCAGATAAATGCTGGGTCCTCTGGTTGGCTGATAACTGTTGTGTGATTTTCTCTGCAGTGTTATCTGTTTTTATGACTTTTGCTGCAGCCAGGAAATGCCTTGATTTGCTATTCCTGCCTCTCTCTGCTGTCCTAGAGCTGAGCTGGTGTGACTGTGTAGCCCTAGACCCAGCAGAAATCATGATGGGTAGAGAGAACACACACGGGCAACCCTAACCCAAAACCGGCCAGCACAGGCTGGCTCTGAACCCAATTCAGTTTTGTTTTCGAAGAACATCAGACTCACGTGGCTTGCTTTTTCCTTATGGCCCTGCCAGAGGACAACTCTGGCCCTGTTCTTTACCAGTCACTGGCAGTCACTGGGCCCCTGTCGGGTGGCCAGAGCCATGCTAGGCTGGCAGGGGTTTCCCAGAGATGTGAAGTCTCCGCCCTAAGGCTGCAGGATAGTAGCAGAGACTGCATGTTATGCAGAGGGAAACGAAAGGATCAATGTGAGAGTCAGGGAGCTTTATGACAGGAGAATGCCTGACACCCAGCTGCTGGTGATGGTTACAAGTATATGTACGTATGTGCGTGTGTTTGCATGTGCATTTGTGTATGCATGTATATATTTGCGGTGCATGCATGTGTGTATATGTGTGTGTGCATGGTGTGTGTACATGCATGATGTGTATGTATTTTTGTGTGTGCATGTATGTGCATGCACGATGAATGTGTGTATGCATATGCATGTGTATATGTATGTGTGCATGGTGTATGTGTATGTATGTGTAGTGTGTGTGCATGCCTGGTGTATGTGTTTGTGTGTGTGTGTGTGTATGGGGTGTGAGTGCATAGGGTGTGTGTGTGTGTGTGTGTGCTTTCCATGTGGGGAGGATCACTGCTTAGAAGGCAAGAGGGACTTCCTCCCCCCCCCACCCCCAGTTTTCCTCCCTTCCCTCCAGGTTCCTGTCATTCTTAGTATTTCCCAATACTGTACAGCCTTTAACACGTGGTCAGCTTGTTGTACCTTGGCCGACTTCAATTCCTAGTTCACGTGCAGCCCTTGATATGGAGAACGATGAGAGAACTGTGTTATTTTCACAGTTGGTTCAAATGACCCCAGTGGAGTTATGTTTCCCAGTAGGAAAGAGCCTTTTAGATACAGCAGCTTGGCCCTGATGGCTTGCACTCAGAATTCCAGTCTCCTTTTGCTTACATTTAATGGCCAGGGAGTGTGGAAACAGTATGGTTTGGGGACCATGTATACTCTGGTTCAAATCCTAGCCCTGGTTATGATCAGCTGTGTGACACCAGGCAATTCTGTGAACCTCACTGAGCCTCAGTTTCCCCATCTGTGATGTGGGGATGCGATCACTTACTTTGCAGGGTGGGTAGAAGAGGTTAAAAAAGGTCCGGTGTGCAGGGCTCAGCATCAGTAGGTGCTCAGCACCTGGGAAGGCTGTCTTCTCCCTGAATGGAACTCCTTGGGGCAGGTAGTGCTGAGTGGGTGTCCCAGGGCCTCTCTAGGAGCCGGCCTCCTGCACTGAGCAGGACTGCCAGGGAACTTGCTTCCTGTGTCCTTCAGCTCACATACTCCTTCCTCAGAGGTGCTTCCCCTCGCCCTCAGGGGGGGCCAGCTCCCATGGCCCATGCCTCAGAGCTCCTATCTCTGAGGAGTTTGCACGTGTTCTATGACTTGTATCCCCCTTCCTACAGGCCTCCCCCCACCCCCCAGGCCGCAGGCATCTTGGGGGAGGGCCTGTGTTTAGCTCATCACCTTTACATGCGGCACCCATCAGTAAACACTGCCAAGTGTGACCCAGCAACTGAAGCAAGGTGCTGGATGTTGACTTAACACAAAGAATCTCAGCTTCTAATTCTAGGTGGCCTCCACCAGTTGTATGATGCTGAATAAGACCTTTCACCTCCTGGACGTCAGTTTTCTTTTTGTACTACGAGGAATTGGTTTGGATCCTGTTTTTCCATTTTTCCTTTTTCTTTTCCTTTTTCACGGCACCATTTATGTCTCCCCCAAATAAAATCTTATGTGGGACCCAGATATATAAACATGATTGCTGTGGCTGAGGTGTGGGTGGAGGGCCCTGACACCTAGTCTCTCCTCACCTCAAGCCTCCAGCCTCTAGGAACCCACCTGAACATGGCCAGACCAGGCCTCTCCCTACTGCTCAGGAGTCTGGGAGATGGACTGTATCTCTAACAGACCACAGGGCACTCCTAGAAACTTTCATTGTCTTTTTTTTTTTGAGAGAATTAAACCCTCACCATGAGCTTATTTTCTGATGCAGTATTTCTCAGAGTAAAAAGTACATAGAGGAAAAAAAAGCACCATAGAAAGTTCTCTCCAGGGGCACTCCGGGCAGCTGATACTTTTCCTGTACACTGTCTGGAGCAGAAAGGCCCTTTAACCTGGTTCCCAAGCTACAGCAGGGTGTTGCTACCTATCTTTATGTCTTCAAGTCTGGGGCATTTCTTTGCTTTTTTGCCCCCATTAGCTGACGGAATTGAAATTTCCAGCTAAAAGAAAGATGTGACCTGAACGTGGGAAGCTAATCTTTTAGGCCAAAATTAGTCGCTGTCATTTTAGTGACAATTAGTTTCTATCCTGTGAAAGGAAAGTCAGCCCTTTAAGGGGTCTGGGACACAGGATGGGGACATTTGGTAGGGGAGACAGTCCAGTGTGGTACAAAGCCACACAGTGCGGCCTCCATTGTCACAGCCTGGGGGTCACATCCTGGCTCAGCTGCAACTGCCCGTGCAGACTCAGTGCCTCTGCTCGCCCAGGGGTCCATCTGTAAGATGCTGACTGCTGGGACTGTGGGAGATGAAATGAATAGTGTATAAGGTGTGATGGCACACGAATTCTCACGAGATCTGAGCTATTAGTAGATGAGAGGACACAGGAAAGGCGAATGTTGG